AGGAAAAAGGACTGGGCATTTTTAAAGAGGGAACGCCACGTGTCTGTAGATGTGACATTGTCGGCAGCACCGTCCCGATGCTGCTCTGTGGGTGGACGCCGTGGGAAGTTCGAACCTTGTACTTTTGTGCTTTACAAGTGAGATCGTTCCGGACCGTCCAACATAAACCTTCCTCTGTCGTGTTCCCAGGACACATCCCACGTACACCTGTCACCGCCCTCACCCCGTCACGGGCGTCTCCCCCATCACACAAACGGATGACTCGAAGTCCGTTGTACGTGTGCCTCTAGAAGCCAGACCAGAGGACGTTCTGTCCCTCCTGGGGACTTCTGAGCTTCGAGGCTGGTAACGTCAAGACACACGGAGCTTTCACTCCACCTGACCCCACTGTTCCATGAGCTGGAGGCTTCTCAGGCCGCTCAGAAAGCGGCTCGCACGTGGGCTTTCTGTCTACATTTCGGGGCCAAAGAACACCCGAGACTGCTCTCCCTGAGCACAGGAACTTGGCCTTGCCTCCACCCTTTGATTCTTCCCTCCAGGACTCTTCATTCTGATGCCCTGATTCTGGACTCTGGAGGACTGTCTGTCCTTCCCGAGGCCTGTCTTGGAACAAAGACTCAGGTAACCAGGGCAGGGTCACTGCAGTCCTTATGAGTACAGGAACCAGTGCAATTAGATCTGCGTAAAACACGCTTGAGGGCGATGATGTAAAATATTCGAGATGAATGTTTAAATTTTTTTAACGTTTATTTATCATTGAGAGACAGAGCATGAGCGGGGGAGGGGCAGAGAGAGAGGGAGACACAGAATCCGAAGCAGGTTCCGGGCTCCGAGCTGTCAGCGCAGAGCCCGACGCGGGGCTCGAACTCACGGACCGCGAGATCGTGACCTGAGCCGAAGTCGGACGCTCGACCAACTGAGCCCCCCGGGTGCCCCTCGAGATGAATGTTTAAAATAAAATTTGCATAATTATTTTAAGTTTCTTCACTTTATTTGAAGCAAGAACATCCTACATGTACAACCTAAAACCTGTTTGGAGCGCAGTAGTATGTTGCATTTTACTCAGAACACACACCGACATAAATGACTAAAAATCCGTGTGATTCTCTCGGACGGATGGCGTGTGATGCCAACACGGGTTACCTGGAGGTCGCAGAGTCGGCTCGAGTAGTGACCCAGCAGCTCTCAGGAGCATGTAGCATGAGTATTTGGGCAGAAAAAAAAAAAAAATCACATATTCATACTGCGTGGATTAAGAGATTCCGTTAAGGCTGAGGACAGCGTGGTATTTGGATCAATTCATTCAAAGCCTCCCCTTGTGCTAGCGAGACGCTGAGAAAAACCAGGGAAGTGCTACAGATATACACGAATGTGTTTCAAATAAAAATGAAGACAGTCAGTATCGAGACGGACATAGCTGTTCCCTCGCGGTCACCATGAAGTCCGCTTCGGCGTGAACAGAAACGATTCAGATCAGACCTCCGTAGAAATGTGCTATCAGGTGGCCCCCGGGGGATTTCCACCTGATGAAAAGTTTTCTGCAGCAACCAGGGTGTGGCAGCGTGTTCCCGAAAACAGCACCAGATGGGTCCAACTGGACGTCCTCACGCCACGTGGCACGGTGCCTAGACCTACTTCCTACGAGAATTGTTAGTCCTAACAGCCCAGATCCTCTGGGAAGCAGGACCGAAGAAGGGCGGTGAGGGATCCGCAGGGAGGATCCTGTTATTTCCGGTGTGGGGTTCCCGGCCCCTCCACTTCTCATCTTCCTTGCAAACGGGGGACGGGGGCTGTGCCACTCGCGGCTACATTCACGACGGCAGCACCAAGACGTGGCTCTGTAAGTGAGGTCTTCGTTGCCTGTTCCACGAAGCCACATCTGGCCAGTTGTGGCTGACAAGCATCTCTCGGAGAGCAAACCCCGGAAATTCTCCACTGCCAAGTATACACGCTGTCCGTTGTCTCTGTGAAAGCAAAAACAAGAGAACACTAACCGTTTCTTCACCGAGAAAGCGGCCGAGGTACTAAGCTTGATTTTTCCCGACATACTCCAGTCTACTAAACGAGAAACAAACAGTAACTGTTGCCTAGTTTCTCTGAGGTCAAAATCAGTTGTTTTGAAAAATGTTTTTGGTGATTCATAATTTATAAGCTGAGTCTGGTGGCTTATGATCTTTTAGCTTCATTTTGTTATGAAGCTTTAGGAACCTGACGTTTAAAGTGAAGTGTGTGTGTGTGTGTGTGTGTGTGTGTGTGTGTAAGAGAATCCTTTATCTCACGAACGGTAATGATCCAGGAAATGTGTACCTCAAGGGAAACCCAGTGAAACCCTGGTTCTGGGTAGGACGTAGCACAAGAGAACAGCACAGCACCACTTGGCTATGAAGAATAGAAGCTATCTTAGGGGCCCTTATACCTGAGATAGGGTTTTCATTTCTGTGTCACTTGCTGCAAACATTACCTACCTTAAAGGTTAAGGCGACCCAGGCCTAGGGCTCTGCCCCCAAATTAGGTTTTCTGACTTTGAAGTGCAATCAATGTGCATTTCTGTAGCTCAGACCTCCACAGGGCAAATCCCAGGACAGTGGACGACTTGAGGTCAGGGCTTGTTTTCAGGAAAGGCTCTAATGAAAACTTTCACACTGGTCGTGAATGTCTGAGAAAGCCCAGCTTACTAGATTTTTTTTTTTTTTTTTAAGTAGTAAACCTGGATGTTTTGTTATAACTTCGAGGTAAGAAAACTCTTGAGACTGAATCTGGGCTATGCATGAAAATGCCTGTTTCTTATAATTGAACGGATAGTGCTTTGACAACTGAAATTCACTAAAACTTACCTGGTAGGTTAGGTTAACCTAGTAGTCGGGTTAAGAAATACTTTAAGACCACACTGCAAAATGGGGAACTTCAATGGACTTCTTTAAATTCTCGACCTCAAAGGAAGGAAACCAACTAACCAATGATGATAACTTGGAGGAAAAAAGGGTTTAGGATCCACACCGTATCCGGAGTTAACGTAATGATTGGAGATGTGGCCACCAATTAACACCAGACTCGTGGGATGCGGGCGGAGGCTCAGCGTCTAAGAGTTTTTGGTCCCTGGCACCTCCAGCCCCCGCTTCCGCCCCCGCGGCCGTCGCGGGACAGGAGCCCGGGACCCCGTGTCCCCCCCC